ACTTTCTTTCTACACAACAACAACTACAACAACAACAACAAAAAATACAGAAAAAAAACCAACCGGTATAAAACCCACACAAACGATTCTTCGACCTCGGGATAGCGTTGATAGCACGGCATAAAATACAAATTTGTACTGTCATTAGGCTGATGCACAGTCTGGCATTTATTTGCTTAATAATGTCGTTAGTACCTCAGTCTACATGTCAATCATTATCGCAACTAACATCAGCATCTTCTATCTCTGCACACACACGCACGCACACACACATACACACACATATACACACACACACATGAATACATACACACACTAACACACATATACACACACTAACACACATACATACAAACAACTACACACACACACACACACACACACACACATACATACATACATACACGCATATTACATAAGTGTGCAATGTACACATATAAGTACAATTGGGCAAGATGGTTTCAGTTTTGCTGTAAGGATGATTTTCAGATCTATTAGTTGATGGCGGTTTTTTTAATACGTTCACTTCACTGCTATATTTTATATAGAAACATTTGTAATCTTTGTTTTTCCGGGTCCAAATGGTTGGAGGGATGAATTTCGTTATTCCCACTCCGATCCGCTACTTTATACGAATACAATCGCATATTATAAATAACATGAATAATGTTTGCTATTATTGTTACTATTCTTTTTGTTTCTGTTTGTTTATAAACTTTTTCATTTCAAACAGGTCTAAATTCTCTTCTCAGTTTGACTGCACGTACGTCAATGTAAATAAACCAATTGCGAAATTAGCGTTGAAATGGAAACATTAAAATTTCGATCGCACTAAGCTGGGATATTTTCTTCCTTAGGTTACATTGTGGGGGGATGGATATGTTTGCCTAAAAAATATGTTTCCCATTTTTGATTATGTTTATTCGTGTGTGTTTGTGTTTATGTTTGTGTGTGTGTGTGTGTGTGTGTGTGTGTGTGTGTGTGTGGTGTGCATACTTATTTGTGTGTACATGTGCATATTCATGTGTGTACACTTAGACTTCTATTTGTTGGTAGTGTGTACACTATACTTAAGTGTGTGTACGTTTTTATTCGTGTAAGTTTAAATGCATCTCGGTCTGAAGTGTGCACAATTTTAGTTAGGAATTTTTTAATGTTTTTATGTTTCTTTTTGTTTGTGGTTTAGAAAATTAATGTGTTTAATCTAGCTGGAATAAATCTTTTGTATTATAATTATTTTGGCGTTATTTGTTTTTAATTATTTTTATTATTAATCAATATTGTTTTTTTCATGTTTATTAGTTTTCAAATATGTTTCGAGGTATTTGTTGGTCATATTGAGTATTAGAGGCCATCAAAACATTAGACAGTAAGGTTGGCTGACTTCCATCACGTTTGATGTTACGTCACATTCGTATCGCTGTGTTTTGCCTGCCTCCCTTGCGATAAACATGCGTTTGTTTGTCTCTGTTTGTTTGTTTGTTTGTATGTCTGTTTGTCTGTTTGTTTGTCTGTCTGTCTCTACTGTGTATGATTTTTTGCTTGTGAGATTGTGTTTATGTAGTGCATGTTTGAATGAGTGTATGGTATTATATATGTGTATACGTGTTTTAAATATGTGTTCATGTGTGTATGTGGCTGTATGTGTGTGTGTGTATGTGGGAATGGGTGTTTGTGTGTGTATTTTTAAATGTGTGTATGTATGAGTATGTGTGCTTCTTATTGTATGTTGTTCGAGAAGTGATGTCCTTATCCATTGCTTTTCCATGCAAATGTTTTAAGGGCTCACTAAAAATTTTATCGCTAATTTGTCCAAATTTATTTTAATATTTATGTGAAAGTTATATATGCTAGCTTTGTTGTTGTGAATGAATAAATGAATGAATGGATGACTCAATGAATGAACAAACGAATGAACGAATGATTGAATGGATGATTGAATGGATGAATAGATGAATAAATGAATGAATGAATGACTCAATGAATGAACAAACGAGCGAACAAATGAATGAATAGATGAATAACTGTATGAATGGAATACTTATCAGAAAGATAAATTTTTGAGAAGAAGTTAAAATTGTGGGACGTGTTTGCATTTCAGAAAGAAAAGAAAGATTAACGAGAAAACCATGATTGCATGTGATTATAAGGAGATAAAAAATTATTAACCTTTTACCCGCCAACGTTCCCAAACGGGAACATAGGTTCAATGGTTAGTTATTTTTTCAAATATTTTAGATAGCTTGATGAAATTGCGTGGATATACTGAATTAAAGTCGATAAATGTAAAAAATAAATATTACAAGGTTTTGACGTTTAATAAAAATTTGATGAAGGTTCAAAGTTCATCAAAAATTTGCTCGATGGGTACATTTTCAAGTTTATAATTTTTTTCAACATTATTCAATCATTATACTATTTATTGTTGTTTTCCTATTTACCAATATGCTGGCAATGATTTTGGGACACATTGCATGTAAAAAAAAGTATAAGGTTCAATTTTTGTGTCAATTTTTATCTAAATGTTCCCAATTGGGAACGTTGGCGAATCAGAATACAAAAATATAAAAAAAAATTTTTGCAAATATTTTTATATTTGTTCACATAATAACATTTATTTATTTGTTTATTCATTTGTTCATCATATTTTCAGCCGAGCGCAAATGTACGTGTCATAAAAAGCGTTATATAAACCAATTTTTTTTATTGATTGATTGATTGATTCTTTGTATATCAAGTCTACGTTCTTTATTATCGCAAATATGTCTGCTCTGCGTTGTTTAACATTAGCTGAAGCTGTGAATCTGATTGAAAATGCATCTGATCTTGAGGATGACGGTGAAATCTTAATTTTACCACCTAATGATCGGCTGGAGGATTCCGACATTGAGGATATCAATGAAAATCAATTGGATAGCATTGATCCCGGCCAAGTATGCGGCGAATTGGATGTTATTGTAAAAAATGCGTCTTCGGCAGATAATATTTCAGATAACTCAGACGAGGAAATTTTAACAAGAAAGGTAGGTCTCAATTTTATAACTTTTTTTATTTGTTAGCATAACCTTTATGAAATATACACATCAGATACCAGCAAAACGGTCAAAAAAAGATGGTCCCCAACCTAAATGGATGAAAAAGAATAATTTTGAAAAACCATTACCAAAATCGAAACCTAAATCATTGTCTCAGGTGGATGCGAATCTTATTTATAAGTCTCCTTTTGAAATTTTTATACAACTTATTGGAGAAGATTACTTAGATTATCTTGCACAAATGACAAATCTTTACGCCAGGCAAAAACTAAGCAGTGTTGATACTACAGCTGATGAATTGGTACGTTTTTTCGGAATACATATTTTTAGTGGATACCATAAAGTTCCTGAAGAAGATCACTATTGGTCTACTGCTGATGATTTGTCCAACAACATAATTTCAAAAGTCATGTCTCGGAAACGTTTTAGAGAATTGAAAACATACTTTCATTTAGATAATTTGAATCTGGAAAATGGTAAAGCTGCAAAAGTTGCCCCGTTTTACAGACATTTGTCAACGAAGTTTTTACAATTCGGAGTTTTCACTGAAAGTCTTAGTATTGACGAATCTATGGTACCGTATTATGGACACCACAGCTGCAAAATGTTTATCCGTGGTAAGCCCATTCGTTTTGGCTATAAAGTATGGATAATGTGCAGTCCTGATGGCTACCCATTTCCTATGCAAATTTGTACTGGTGTCAAGGATTCTCACACGCAATTAGAAAAAGTTGGAGAAAAAATTCCGCTTGGAACTCGTGTAGTGAATGAACTATTATCTGTCATAGAAACTCCAGAAGAACATAGCATTTACTTTGACAACTTTTTTTCATCGTATGCTTTGTTGGATGAATTGCGGCAAAAAGGATTCAAACCAATTGGTACTATACGAGAAAATCGCACAAATAAATGTCCATTAGTCTCATGCAAGGAATTAGGAAAACAAAGTTGCGGAGATTTCGACTACAATGGTGATGGTAAAATAATTTGCGTACGATGGAATGACAACAGTGTTGTCACCCTTATTTCTAACTGGATTGGTGCCCTACCCACCCAAAACGTCATGCGATATTCTGCAAAACAGAAGCAAAAAGTCGCAGTGAAACAACCAGAAGTTGTTGCAATGTATAACCAAAATATGGGTGGAGTTGACCTATTGGATCGTTTGCTTAGTTCTTATCGACCCATTCTTCGATCAAAAAAATGGTGGTGGAACCTTTTTGCAAACGGTTTGAATATGGTTGTAGTAGCTGCATGGAGGCTTCACTGCCACGCTGTAGGACCAGGGCAAGCAAAAAGCCATTTAGAATTTCGACGTGATGTTGCTGCAGTAGTCATGAAAGTTGGTCTGAACGATTTCCGAAGCAGGAAAGGTGGTCCAACAAGTCCTATCAACAAGGACGTCAAGGAATCAACTGTTGGACATTATTTGTCATCAACTACACAAGGAAGATGTAGTTTATGCCAAAAAAATTCCCGTAAATGGTGTGAAATTTGCGGCAAACGTTTGCATGAGAAATGTTTTCCAAAATTTCACAACTTATAAAATTGAAAAGATTTATAGAATTATGCATAAACTTTTCATTTTGTCATAATACAATTGATTTTCATTTTATCATTGAAGTTTATTGTAAGATGCTAATGTTATAATAAAAATTACGAACAAAAAGTGTTTTTATAAAATTTGTATTTGTAGCCGCCAACGTTCCCAAATGGGAACATACCTACATCTCGACTTTTTGATGACGTATGTCACTGAAATTTTGTGAGGAATAGAATGTCATCCATAGAAACATATAAAAAATTCATTCAATTATATTGACGGGAACATATAGCGGCGGGTGAAAGGTTAATCATCTCTTTTTTGGAACTAAGCTACGTTACTCAAAATTACCGTTACAACTTTTACTAATTCTGCCAAAAACCACAAGATGGCATCAACGAAATCTTTCTACCTTGACTTTGTTTAATGCGTGTATGATGTCTCAAGTGTACGTACGTGAATGGCATACGTATTGATGATTTCCGTATGCATGTGCTCACATGTTTGCAGACGATATCTGGCGGTTTTATTTTTCAAGTGCGTTATTTTCTTATTTTTTCTAAAAAATTTCTTCATTTTTTGAAGAATTTTAATCTGATCCATGAATTTTTGCAAGTTTTTCAACTGTTTACTTTCATTTTGTTTTTTGCCAAAAGGCTGTTTTTTAGATACAGTTTTCCGTGTATTTATTCATATCAATGGTTTAACTAGTGTGTGTATTTGTTTAGATTAAACTGTATTTTGAATGTGTGCATTTGTGTGTGAAGGTTTGAGCCTATGAAATTCGTTACTTCGATAAGTTATTCAAGCAATTGTGTTATATATTTATTTTATTTTTAATTCCAGGCAGGCGCGGCATGCTAGAGAAGTAGTTAAGATATAAACAGATGCAGTGAGTTCATACCAAGTGGATCAAACTGATATGCAGCACTAGAGAAGTGTTTTATTTGCACATTATTGCTCACGTTAATGCTGATAAAACAGACACTGCTGCTGCTATGCTACTACTACTACTGCTGCTGCTACTACTACTCTTACTACTACTACTACCACTATTACTACCACTACTATTACTACTACTACTTCTATTACTACTACTACTACTTCTACTAATTACTTTTTAACAGATATAATTATTTGATGAATTATTTTATAATAATTCATCAAACATGACTTATGTTGCTTCTATTCAATTATAGAAACGTAGCGCTTTGCTATTACTTTAAATTCTTCAAATTTTTCAAAGCGGAAATTTAAGAAAAAAGATTTCTATGTTCTGTTGCTTTGTTAGTTGAGTCGGTGAGTTGCTGAGCTGTGGCAGTTGTTGTGGTTAGTTTATTTCTTAAAAGGTTTTTAATTGTTGTGAGGGCTTGCAAATGAACTGTGATTAGAGGCTCTCTATAAATCAGTTGATCACTTTGTATGTGAAGACTTATTTTCACAAAATTGCGTTTTTCAATTTATAACATTTGTGATATCGATGAATTTTTCCTGTATACAAAACTTACAATTTTTCAAAACTCTGATCTTGAAAGTTTTTTTAAGATTAGTAAAACGATCTTTTCATCACTTAGTTCCAGTGCAACATATTTTATCTCCAACTAATACACACACACACACACACACACACATACACACAATATATATATATATATATATATATATGAACAAGATAGAGAACCTTCACATGCAATAATCATATTACAAGCACGCACATTATTATGATTTACACATGCCATAAACATGTTTGCATGCACGCACACCCATTCAAACTTATCAAAACCAAAAAACACTCTCTCTCACATACTTCCACACACATACACACATATACACGCCAATATACTTCCACACTCATACACACATACACAAATAGGCAGACACAATTTCTTTCTTTCTGAACAACCTCTAATTTGTACACACAATAACACGCACATGTAGAACGTACATGTATATTGTACAGAAGAGTACTCCTATAATTACGTACACACACACGCACACACACACACACACACACACATACACACACACACATACATACACACACACACACACATACATACATACATACTTACATACAACCTACATACATACATACTTTGTATTCAACGATCATAACTCTATAATAAATGCATTTTATTGCTCAATCACATTCATGTTTTGTATCACCAAAATTATCACCAGTGGTTTGTTTAGAATTCATATACTCAAATGCATACGTACATACATTCTTAAATACGTACATACATTCGCACATGCACGCCTACATACATACAAACATACATACATACATATAAACATACAAACAAATATTTTTGTATATTACATAGACGCAGAGTTTAACAATAAACTCACACGCATCCAAATGTATCTCCTTTCAAATACACAAAAATTAGCATACAAAAAGTGTTCATAGATGTATTAGAAGTATCGTATTAATAAAAACTTCATAAGCATACAAACAAAACAACGTGCATCGCATACAACGTACATACAACGTATGTGTACTTATCAAACTGTACACCAGAGTCATACATACATGCATACATACATACATACATACATACATACATACATACATGCATACATACATACATACATACATACATACAAACATACATGCATACATACATACATACATACATACATACATACACACATACATACATACATACATACATACATACATACATACATACATGCATACATACATACATACATACATACATACATGCATACTTACATACATACATGCATACATACATACATAGATACATACATACATACATACATAAATATGCAACGCGATAAAAAGTAACAACATATGCACAAATAAGCATACATCTGGCCGTATACGTACAACATAAAACAACTTAAAAACTTCAAAATACAAATTATATGAATACAAAATTTATACATTTATAAAATACAACTCCACTCTAAAAACAAAAAAAAACTAAACATACAAAAATGAGTCGTGAACATGCATACAATTTTTTCCTTGAGAGAAAAACTAAAAAAAAGAAGAGCCTCTGAATCGATAGATTGATATCAGACTGGTTAGATTGATATCATGATAGATAGATATATGTGTCTCTGGACATGTGCGTATGTCCGTGTGTGTGTGTGTATGAGTGTATGTATGAATGTGTGTGTGTATGTATCATCTAATTCATTTATTCATGTTTGCAGTTTGCTACCTCTAGCAAAATGCAGACTTTAGCAAAATGCAGTGTTTGTTGTTAAGATGCACTGTTCCCGAAATATTTTCCTACCAACTTTATCAACTGTATCTCTGTGTACCTCTCATTAATTTTTATGTTTTGTGTGGTGTGTGGGCTGTGCATGTAGTGTGTTCTGGATTGTGTATGATGTGTGTTGTCTGGCGCGTTGGTTCTGTATGTATGTAGTGTGTTGTTGGTTGGGCATGTTGTTTATTGCGGATTGTTGCCATATGATCAAATTGTATGTTTATGAATGTTGTTTTGTATATTTTGCTCTTTTTTAGAAATTTTTATGAACCAACAAACAGTTATCAATAATTATTATAACTATTTTTTATCAAATAAATACCTCAAAATTGCATAAAGATGATGATGATAATAATAATAATAATGATAATAATAAAAATAATAATAATAATGATAATAATAATAATAAAAATGATAATAATAATAATATTAATAATAATGATGATGATAATAATAATAATAATAATAATAATAACATTTCGATGCACTTGAATGTGCGTGTGTATGTGTTCTACGTCTGTTACGCGAGTTTGTTTGCGGTGCCTGGCGTGCTATTATTAAGTTTATTGACTCAACTCTTCTAATGTGAACCGTGCGTACACACGCATGTACGCATACGTTACGTACAACAACGTACACACACACACACACACACGTTCACAACTTCCAGATACATGCACCAAAACACAGACGAAACGACAAACAAGACTATGCATACGTATGTATTTGTATACATTTGTTATCAGCGTATCATTTGCATCTATCTTTCTATATTATATTTTAGCAAATTAACTTTAATAAAGTTAAATTGGAGGAAGATTTTTTTTGCATACGATGATGTTTATTATATAGGAAGTAGAAGCATGAATCAATCATGTAGCACTGGGGGAAGAAACGCTTAGTGAGATTGTTTATAAAATCTGACACGCATATCTGCGAACCTGTGTAACAAAGAAGGAAACCCTATTGAAAACAAACAGATGTTCTTACATTGAATCAAAAAGATTGGTTCAAACAATTAGAAAATATGTAATTACACACTAGAGATCAACATGTTAAACAATAATACAGCAATTTCGTTTGTTTTATTGACGAAATAAACTTCAAATCAAGCATAATTACTCCACACATACTATCTAAAATACATACAAAACAAACTTAACTAAACCTGGATTAAATACAATCGCATACGTACAAACACACACAAAAACTACCGAATACAAACCCAGACATACAAACGCGTACACTAAATTGTACACAAAAATATACAAACACACAAATATACAAACACAACAAATAAAAAACACACTAAACAAAAACATACAAACAAACATACAAACACAACAGAGACATGAGATGAGATCAATGAAGGGCACGTGTCACACAAATCATACAAACATGAGTACACACGTATTGCATACACATACACACACACATACACATATATATATATATATATATACACGCTTACATACACACACACATATATACACGCACACATACACATACACATTGAGTGTGTGTACAATATGGTCTGTCACCTATTGTTTTGAATCGTCTTATATATGTATATGATCTGCATGCAAAAAACTGAGCTCATCATTGTGCCTACATACACTATATACCCTTGCCACGATTAAATTATATATATAGATAGATTTTTTTAT